ACTCTCTCTCTCTCTCTCTCTCTCTCTCTCTCTCTCTCTCTCCATCAACTGATTAGCTATGCTGGAACAACTCTCTCTCTCTCTCTCCTCTTCATCAACTGATCAGCTATGCTGGAACCTCTGTCTCTCTCTCTCTCTCCGCCACTATGATAGGAGAGTGTGGGCCTAAGCCAGTCTTCGTAACCATTAAGGCTGTATCGAGTGCCGAGAGGTCCGGTTATGTTCGACCACACCAATGTACCCAACCCCATGTTAGCGGAGAGAGGGAGGGGTGTCAGGGTAACTAGAAAATGGGGTTTCTTCAAAACCCAGAAGTTCTAGCTCCCTGGAAGTTAGAACTATTGATATGTAGACATTCTGAAGGACTTGTTTGATAACCTGTGTCGATATTCTTAAATTAGAGAGTTCACAAATATCTATGAAAAGCGTCACAGAATTATGGTTCATGGCTTCACAAAGGGAGATAAAAGGCATCATTATAGAGAAACGTTAGAAAGAGACAAGGTATGACTAGAGAGTTAAAGAGAGAAAGTAGATGGTTAGAAAGAGGATGTAGGGAGAGAAAGCATGGGTAGGGAGAAAAAAGACAGAGTTACAGCTAGAAGGAGAAAGGACCCGGTTAAGGCGAGGAGTTAAATGACATATTAAGAGAGGGCAGTTAGAGAAAGGGCCTGGATACAGCGAGACGATTTAGAGAGAGGTTTACTTTACAAAAAGAAGTGTTTACTTTACAGCTTGCCTAGTCAAGAGTACTTCTAGGATGGGTGGCCTCATAGGAAGTCTTTGTGCCAAATCCTATTGGGAAAAGAGCTGAATTCGTGGTGGTAGCATATCTCTTACTTTAGTTGTACATTGTGGTTTCATTCTCTCACTAATTCAAAAACAAATAACGGCCTGTCATCCTCATTAAATTAAAAAAAAAAAAAAATGGAAGTGATAGGGTTCTTATCGTTTGAGAACCTAAAACTTTATAAGTGCTACAGTTAATTGGAGCATCCTTGGAACTTCCAATTATCAAATGTGCCAAGAGAGCGTGAGATTGTCTACAAAGAGACTATTTATCTTTTGTACAAAGTCACAACTATTCCCCACTCATTAGAGGTCAAAATTGAATGGCTTAATTTTTTTTTATTAAAATTTCAGGTTTATTTAATAACACTCTTACAATCACTCATTATGAAATTTAAAAGACAAGACTGATTGTGACCTTCTTATATAAAAGATAAATGGTCCAATTGTGACCTCCATGTATAAAAGATAAATGATCTCTTTGTAAATAATCCCATAAGAGTATTCAATGAAAGTAATGCAAAAGAAAATCCTGATTTTCATTTCCAAAAGCCTCTACAAAAAGTTTACATCTCTTTCCACTTCTACAGCGAGTTATCGTTAAGTTTACATCTCTTTCCATTTCTACATCGAGTTATCAACAATAGCCATTTCATCAAGCTAATGAACAGCCATTAATCCAAAATGCAGGATAAAACCTATATTGTGGCAATAATCCAAAAAAAGGCTCCCAAAATGAGCTTCCACATTTTAAATTGAGAACAAAGAAATTCAGAAACCTCTCGCTAGTACTTTCTAAAAGTCAGATTCAGCCGACCAGGAAACAACCTCGACTCATCGCGAAGCCAGTTCGGCATTGTATCCCGATGAATACATGGAACCCCATGAAACACATCCCTTGATTTACCCCCAAATATCAACACATCACCTGATTCCAATTTAATTCGGCTGGCCTTCTTCTCATCTCTTTTCTTTCCATACAAAAAGTCACCCGAATCACCAATCGAAAATGACACAACCGGTAAACCTCTACCAATACTTTCCTTGCTCTCGTCTTTATCCTGCATTCCCAGAAGCACACATCATGCATAAAAAAGTTAACCTTAACATAGAAAATAACCTGAAATAAAAAATAAAAATAAAATAAAAATGGTAACAAGCATATGGCATACTACACCTGCATGAGTTTGCATAAAGAAATTTATTTATTAAAATAATAATAATAATAATAATAATAAAGAAGAATACGAGTCACAACTCATGATACAGTTGAGAGAGATAAACCTCACCCAAGAGGGTAATTTCACATTTAAACGTAGCAAATGACAAAAAAACTTGGACAAAAGAGGTATGATGACTAATTTCAAGAGATGAATTTCATAGTTTGGTCTACAATGGAGACGAGGGGAACAAAGTAAAAGAGAAAACTGTTCGGGGTGGAGTAGTAATCAAAGAAGGGTGTCCAAATAATGTATATTAGACTTTATGTAAATTATTAAGTTTGTTTACATACTCAAGCATGAGATTTTATGAGGATTTTTTGAAGCTGCCTAATTTATGGCAGATTTAAAACCTAGATATCACAGGAATCTTAATAAGTTCTGCGAGAACTGTTCTGGTGTACAAGAGTTAGACTTGTTGGACAGGGAATGCAAAAAATCTCATGGCCAGCGAACTCCGATCAAAAAAAGGCTGAGCTCCTGCAAATCAAACAAGGATTCACATTCCAAGGCAACACATTCAAAGGTAAAACTATATATGCATATGTCTCTGCACACACTAGTGGAAAGTGGACGCTTATGATATTCTCTCCGGTTTTGAGGATTTCAAATAAGCTGAAATTATTATAAAAGACAAGTGGTTTCAAAACAGAATGTCAAGTTAATAAAGTTCATAAAGCAGCGGGAAACCATTTGATTATAAGCCTCAGGAAACTACAAAATAATAAAATTTAAATTGAAGGATCAATGAATTTGTGGATGTGCATACTGGACAATAAGGGGGAATCATGTATTCTTATGTTTTATTGAGTGGACAGTATGTCCTATATTAATTCCTTGACAACAAGAAAATAAAGAAAAATTTGTGCCAGATTCCCACAATCCAAAGTAAACCAATAAAAGAGTAGAAATCAATCACAATCCAGAAAATTTGAAAAGAAAAATGGGGAGGAGAAAAAAAACAACAATCATAACAGCTTAGAAGAACAATTGGCACTGCATGAAACTATTACCAATTCCTGCTGCTTCAAGGCTGGTAAAGTTATTAGTATTTTTTATATGAACAGTGTACCATAGCCCAATGCACAATAGAAAAGCAAAGTTAAACTCCGTCCAATGAAATGATATGAGAGAGAGAGAGAGAGAGAGAGAGAGAGAGCAGGAGTCTGACAATGCAATTGACTGCAATTTTCCATACCCACGGCTAAAATACTCATTCCCCTCACAATAACAAGTCACATTATAAATTTCCTTTAGAAAGCAATGCATCCTAGGGCTTCCAAATCAGACAACTTACTTGATGGAGGCCAAGACACCCAGTATTTCTATAGAAGTTGACAATACAAAGATCAGGTGTCATGGAGGGTAGGATCTTCTTCACATCAGCAAACCTGTTTTCTTGTTTTAGTAACTCATGAGAACTTGTAATAGCTCTCAGTACCAGGTCCTTGAATTTATTAGGAATGTCAGGTGGTTTTGAACCATCAAAACATGTATCCTCATATGCGGATGTCTGAGGGTTCCAATTCTTACCCAAGCACATCATTTTCAATCGTAGTTTTGCTCCATCACTATAACCAGGTTGGTAAAAACCCCCTGGACCTGCACCAAGCTTTTGGCATATTCTTACTATTTCTATCTGTAAAAGAACAGCAGCAAGAATATATGCTCAAATTCAATGCTAAGTCATAAAACCTTATGAAATAATTACTGCAACAAGTCAAATACAAAAAAAAACTTAAACCCAATAAATCAGACCGACTAAGAAAACCACAAAAAGAAGGATAATATGAAAACTTGATGGAGAAAATATGAAAATATCACGATGCACACTTTGGCTCCTAATGCATGGGTAACAGCTTATAAAGGAAGAGGAATAATAGAGAATTTTTCTTCCAAAGAAATTTGTGATGCATGAACCCCACACCACAATCTTCAGGTTGCCTTGAAGTTATTCAATTTCTTAACAGAACAAAAAATGTAATTAAAAAAAAATCAATCAACAAAGAAAGCACCAAAAATATTTAAAATCAAAGATCACGGCAGTTTAACACTTCAAGGAAATGCAAAAGAATATAAAACAAGTGCTAAGGGAAGCTGGGAGAGACAAAAGGGGTTTGGCTATTTTAAGGGAGAGGATGGGTGGCAGGGTGCGGTTTAAGGTATTATTTCGGTCCAAAGAACACAGACAAATTTTATGATTTTAATGGGTTAAGAAGCATGTTCAGTAAATTACCAATGCGAAAACATGCACCAAAAAACAACCATCCAGTAACCAAGTTAACAAAAAAATCAGATGTAAGTGGCATATGCTCATGAAATCCATAATAGCATTTTCACATCCCAGAACAGGTAACGCATTAGCCTTAGTGCAACTGGTCATGCCGATGTTCCCAAAAACTGGGAAAGTCACTATCTGGCTTACCAAGTTATCGCATAAAATAAAACAGAAAATACTTTGCAAGCAAAAGAAAGATCTAATAACACATGAATTTTCAATAAAATTCAAAGGCTCTAGTTTGCTTCACCAACTTTTAAAGACACAAAGTTTCTCGGTAGGAGAAACAAATCTAAAGCCTATCATTCCACAAATTTACAAGGTTAGTTTGGAAATAAAATTCCTGAAGAACAAAAAACTAAACAGAATCTTACAATAATATGTATCATAAGCTTTGACTGCTGGAAAACATCTACGAACACATGCCTCAACAATAGAAGCCATCTAAAAAAAGTGCAGAAAGAACAATCAAGGAATTATCTGGGATTCGCTCAAAAATTTATTCATGATAAAACAACAATGGATCTCCAAATTGTTCTCTGGGAAGGGAGGTCATGAGGTTTTCAAGAGAGGCCAACCCTCAAAAACACAACAGCAGCAAAAATAATAACAAATAACACTGACAAATCCAAAGAAAAAATCGACACCAATCCCACAAAAATGTAAAAGTAAAAGATCCCTATCAATAATAATATCAAAATTAAAGAAAATTGAACCGTTGAAGATGTAAAGGAACACTCAAAAACAAATAAAAAACAACCAAACAAAGAGATCATACACTGATAGTAAGTAAATCCCTACAAAGGCAAAACAACATGAAATAAATTACAAGATATGTTACCTGATTATCATGACCAAGAAAACTCTTCAAAAGGATCATTCCAGGTCCCAGTTTATGCCATTCGATACCATTCTTCAAACACTCATTTTCCATTCTTTTCTGCTTATTTTGAGTAAATAAAGAAGCATTCAATTTAACTGGAGTACCTCGTCCAGAAATTCTCATCTCAGGATAGCAAATGTTAAATGGGCGGAAAGAAGGGGACGTCTCATTATGCAAATCATTATTCACAACTCTCTTAGGAGAAAAAATTCTTCCTGGAGTTGGCATTGGATATGCCCTGTAGTCATCTTGGATTTGGGGGTTTCTTAGAGAAAACCATTTTTCATGGCTGTTCCAATCATCCGAAGACTCATTTTCTAGGCACCCACCAATTTTGGGACCAGATGAAGACTGCAACAAGAACAAATAAGGTAAATAATCAAGCCAGTAAAAAAGGATCAACATTGATAGATTCAAATTAAAAATAACATCAACTTTAATAATTAAAAAATAAAACAAGAAGGTATCATATATGTGCCTCTCACCCCATATCTCAAGACAACTAAAATTAAACAAATGTCACTTGAAACATCTAAAATTTGAGAGTGAAAATACCTAGGTTGTGGCATTTCAAGTGATTAACATAAACTGATGACTCAATTTTGAATAACTAGAACAATCCTGACACTTAGGATTGAGAAAAAGAGATCCATCAAATGACAAATAAATTGCTATAATTTGCACATCAGTGTAGAAACATAAGAAATATGTTCCAAGAAAATACAGCATTCATAAGCACGAGCCTGCATGACATATGATAGTAAATTTCTCCCAAGTTCCGGTTAATCATGAAAGTAGAATAATTACTTTATTGAATCGTTTTTGTTGTGAAGTAGGACTGTGAAGATCAAATATAGCAAATCTAAGAGATGGCTATAATTTCACTAGCATATGACTTATTTAGTGAATTATGTTGTTGAAGTAGGACTACGAAACTGCAAAGATCAAATATAGAAAATTTAACAGAAGGTTTTCAAAGTCATATATTATGTAAGAGAATTCTGAAGTTCTGTCTGTTCTAAGATGTCAGGGGGAAAAATGAGTAGCACAAATGCGCCTAGATATCACATTATGCTTCTTCAACAATATATGTAAGAATCGCAATGACCACATTGATAAAATTTACTTTATTACATATTAGCTAAGAACTCACCAATTTACAACATCATGGAAAAATAGTTCTCTTATCAGACTTAGTGAGAGACTAAACCACATAGTGAGTCAAGCCAATTGAATGATATGGAGTAGTGTAGTACGGAGTAGTGTAGCATCTGTTTTCTCTTAGACTAGTTAGGGTTTGTCAAGGGGAAAAAAAACAAAATTTAGATGTTTATCCCCATAAAATCTAAAAAATATTCCATGATTCACATTTACTGATGATATTTCGAATTTCATAAGTTTATATAGATATTTCAAACTTTATTAAGTTCATAAAATGCCAAATACCAACATCTCATCATTATAATCTGAGCCTTATCCATACTATTTTGGGTCAGCTACACAAATCATGTTCTGTCATTCCGCTTTATCAAGGGCCATACCGCCCATCAAACCATAAGTAACTATATCTTCTCTCAATACTTCTATCTATATACTTTGGGGCCGTCCCCTTGCCCTTTTGGAGCTTTCCACTAGAACCAAATAACCCCTCCTAACTGGTACTGTTCTAGGTTGACACTGCCTATGGCCAAACCACGTAAGCCTATTTTCCTTCATTTTATCACCTATTGAAGCTACCCCTAAGTTCACTTGAATGTATTCATTCCAAATTCTATCATTCCCCTACACACATTCCATGGATATGTTTGTCTTGATCGCCCAACATTCCATCCCATAAAGCATGGCTGGTCTTACAATCGTCTCATAGAACTTCCGCTTCAACGTTTTGTTAAGGAACGATCACATATACTCCAAAGGCGCATCTCTACTTCATCCACTCAGCTCTAATTCTATGAGTAACATCTTGAGTAATCTCTCTTTTCTCATGGATTGTTGACCTAAGATATCGAGAATAATATCTTTTAGGTATTATTGGCCATCAATCTTATCTAATTTTTGCTTCTGCTCCTAATATTACTAAATTTGCATTCCATATATTATTAGTTTGACTAGTTTTAAAACTTTTAGATTTAAAGTATCCTTCTCAAGTTCTAAATTTGTATGTACGCCAACTCTAGTCTCATCAATCAAAACTATGTCACCTGCATATAGCATACACCATCAGACCTCATCCTGTAAATGTCGAGTTAAAGTAAAGAGATATGGGCTCCACGCTGAACCCTAACGTAAGCCTACTATCATGAAAACTCAATTGTCTCTCCATTAGTTGTCCTTGCATTAGCTAGGACTCCATTGTGCACATCCCCAACCAAGTCAATATATCCTCTTAAGACTCCTTTCTTTTTTAGCACCCACCAAATTATCTCTCTGTAGGTGCCTTATCATATGCTTACTCTAAATCAATAAAGACCATGTAAGGTCTTTTCTCTTCTCCCTAAACTTCTCAATAAATTGCCTAAGTAGGAAAATAACCTTCGGTCAATCTCCCTGGTATAAATCCGAATTGATTTGTTGATATACTCGTTGCATTACTTAGTCATTGCTCCATCACTCTCACCCACAATTTCATAGTGTAGCTCATAAGTTTGATCTCTCAGTAGTTCGTAATTTACGAAATATCTCTTCTATTCCTGTAAATAGGTACCACAGTACTTTTCCTCTATTCATCTAGCATTTTCTTTATTCACAAAATCTTTTGAAGAGCATGGTCAACCAAAATATGCCAATCTATCGCATACGCTTCTGAACATCTATTGGTATACCATCTAGTCTTAAAAGTGTCTTTCATTTTAGATATCCTAATTCTACAAAAGCATCTATGATCTCTGACCTCATTTATATCAATAATTCCTCCTAACACTAAGCTCCCAGAGTGGTTATCACGATTTATGAAAATAAATTCTCAACTTTTTATTGACCTCATTATTCTTCACCAACACCATTTGATCCTCACTCTTAATGGATTTAATACGATCTAGGTCCCTAGACTTCCTCTCACTCATTTTTGCTAGCTTAAAGACGTTGTTTTTACCTTCTCTTGTCCCAATTTATTGTATAAATCATCATATGTCTTAAGCTTAGCCTTACTCATTAATTTCTTACCGCTCCTCTTGGCATTATATACTTTTCTAAATTTTGATAATTTCTATTCTTTGGAAAGCATTGTAAAATGATTAATTTTCGCTAATAGCCTTTCAAACTTTATTATTCTAACACCAAGTCTCCTTATCCGAAAGTCTTTCCCCTATAGATTCTCTTAGAATTTCTTTTGTCTCTTTCTTAATACAATCAACCATCTCATTCCCATTGTTAAAAAAACCGGACCGCTCAGCTCCTAAGCGGTCCAGAAGGCCTGGGCACATCGCCCAGGCCTAGGTGGCACAACTAGGGGGTGGTCCCTAGGCAGCCCCCTAAGCGGTACCAAACCTCCTAGGCGACCGCCCAAGGCCTGCACCCCACCTAGAGGCGAAAAAGTACTCTCTTTTTTTTCTTTCGTTTTTTTCAAGATATAAAAGTTTAGAATGATGGGTTTTAGGTTCATTTGAAGACTAAACCCACAAGAACTCCTTTTAGAGACAAAGAAACCTTTAAAAAACTATATTTCATTAGATCGAATCATTGAAGTGTTTCTCAAAGTTTATAGTTCGAGCAACGTAAGTAAGTACATTTTTTAAATTGCTTATTTTATTTTGAGATGTCTTCTTCAGGAGTTAGTCGGAGTGGAGATCCGGGTTGAAAATATGAATACAACCCGAATCCAAATGACAAAAATTGTGTTCGAAGCAATTTTTGTGAAAAATATACAAAAAGAGGCATAAACTGGTTTAAGAAACATCTTGCCAGTATTAAAAGCGATGTTGCCCTTTGTAAAAATGTTCCTGAAGCTATCAGAGAGGAGATTAAACAATTTATAAGTAATATAAAACAAAAACAAGAACAAAATCCTTGTCATAGATCTATTTCTATTTTTGCTACTTCTAGAAGAAGTGATCCGAGTTGGACGTATGGGTACAACCAAAAACCAAATGATAAAAATTGTATAAGGTGTAATTTTTGTGAAAAAGATACCAATTGAGGTATTAGCCGATTCAAAAAACACATTGTTGGTGTTAGAGGTAATGTTGCTTCTTGTACAAAGGTTCCTGAAGCAGTTCGAGAAGAGATTAGACATTTTTTGAATTTTAAAAAACCAGAAAAGGATGAAAATAATCCTTGTTCTATGGAAGTATCTTCTCCAGGTTTTAGTGGAAGTGATGATCCGGGTTGGAAGTATAGTTATAACCCGAATCCAAGTGATAAAAATTGTATTAAATATAATTATTGTGGAAAAGATATTAATGGGGGCATTTACTAGTTTAAAAAACACATTGCTGGTATTAAGGGGGATGTTGCCCCATGTAAAAATGTTCCTGAGGCTACCAAGGAGGAAGTTATACAATATTTGAACTCAGAGAAGCACAAAGAAAATAGTAGAGCATCCAAGACTCCTAAGACCTCATCTGCATAGACTGCACATACTAGTAAGAAGAAGGTAGAAGAAGAGGAGGAGGAAGAGGCAGATTCAGAAGAAACAGATGAAGACGAGTGTTATATTGAAGAGGGAGATGACTCTGATGATGATAGCCTCGACTCTGATGCATATGAAGAGGCTTGCCCTATTGATATTCCCCCTAATGATGATGATGACGACGACTGAAGACTCTTGCCTCTTGGTGCTAAGTGTTGAGTGTTGAGTCTGTTAACTGTTGTGTTGAGTCATGAGTGTTGACTTTTGTTAGACTGTATATTTTCTAAATTTCTTCATATTTCTGTTGTGTTGCGTGTTGACTTTTATATCCTACACTTGTATGGTTTTACAATTTACTGTTTTAACAATATGGATTATCAAAATTCTCTTCTCGACGTTTTTTTTTTTTTTTCAACTTGGAATATGGTATATTGGTAATTTGGTATGTTTTTTACTTTTTTTTTTCAACTGGGCAGCCGCTCAAGTTCTGGGCGCCCGCCTAGGACCCGCCTAGCGCTTTTTGATACACTTCTCATTCCACATTGTATTAACTTCGTCTTGCGAATTAAATTTTCCTTCTTTCATCAATTTATTACTAAATATGTCTATTTTCACCCTTCTTAAGTTCCACCACCTAATTCTTAAACAACCATTGACATCACTCCTTCTCTTTCATCTCTTAATGCAAATGTCCATAACCATGAGATTGTTGCGCAGTCAAGCTCTCTCGTGGTATAACCTTAGGGCCTTTACAAGATAATCATTGTGGCTTTCTTAATATGAAAAAAGTCTATCCGGGTTTTACATGATCAACTTTTGCAAGTTATTACATGATCATCTCACTCTTTAAAGTAGGCATTTGCTATTGCTAAATTATAAGCCATAGCAAGATCAATAATGCCAAATACCATAATTAGAAAAAATGTGCACCTTTTCTTGCATGTAGCTTCAAGGTATGTCTTTGAAGTTACAAAAAACCACAAGAAAGGAAAAGTTAGTCCACCTTGAATTTAGCAACAAACCAAGAGAACCAATCAAACTGCTTAGTTGCCACACTTTGTCAATTTCGCACTTCTCCAGTAATGTTCAGAAAGAGCAATTCCCATCATTGAAAAGTAATACAATAATTATATAAATCCTATAAAAGGCCTTAGAATATAGAGCTCTGAAGAACCTTAGAATATAGAGCTCCCAAGAAACTGTACCTCACTTCTATAATATCCCAAGTTTTTAAAACTCTGCAGAGTCCACTTGGCCAGGACATGGCACCTTGCTGAACCGAGTCTTGGGTGCGAACTCGGGAATATGAAATAAATCATAAAAAAAAAATGTAAAGATTATATATTATTAGTAGATCGATGCATATATTTATACATATATAATTTGATGTTTTGTATTTTTTTATCATATGCTCTATTTTCCTATGATCCCCTTCTTGGATTTTCTGACTTATTTCCGCATATAAATCAACTTTTTCCAAATTCCATATTTTATATTATTTTTATCTTTTTTATATTTTTAGTGATTTTATAGTTTATTTTGATTTTTGCTATTATTTATTGGAAAGTGATTTCATGTTAACATGTCATAGTAATATAGTTAAACCATACTTCTAGAAAACCATATTTGTGGCAGTTGGAGTGTCTCCAAAAATTGCAGGCAACCTCTCTTCAACCCAATAGTCAATCCAAAAAAAGCAAAATTCAATTTGCACCTAGCATGGTCAAAATGGGTGCCCCTCCAACAACGGATCTAGACTATCCATTTGGCAATTTTAGGATCTAAGCCTTTACAAACTCATTATCATTTTTTTCTTCTTTTTTTAACATGGTTCATCTAATAATAATGAAGTCATCTAAAAATTTTGGAAAGGCAAAAATGTCCTTCTAAAGCCTAAATCTAAGCATATAAAAAAACACTTCCTATGGTGTGTTTTTAAATTTTTCTTTTTTCTCATTGTTCATTAGAATGAAAAGAATGTATATTTAAAAAACTAGGGCCAAAGAAATAGCTCTAAAATAGTCTTGTTTCATTATATTACTATAGGACCATTGCATAAAATCACTCCCCTTATTTATTTTTTTAACAAATTATTTAATTTTTTTTTCATTTTTGACCCTTTTTAGATTCGTACACTACTCTGCGCCGAGTTACCTGCTTGGGCAGGGGCCAAGTCCCATGCCAAGAAAAAAAAATTTAACACCAGAAAGTGTTCATGTAAAATAGGCAATTAACACAGCAAACCAAAATTATAAAACCAAAATTCAAATACCAAAATCAAAGAAATTCAAATTAACAAAACAAAAAAAAGAACGAAGAAGGGAACCCAATTCAGCAAACCCTTTTCTACCACAATTCATAATTATCCAGGGAAGCCAATACATAAAAAAAAAAAAAAACAAATAAAAAAAAAAAATTGAAGAAGTGTACAACCACAAAACCAATCACACATAAGAAAAAGAAGAAAGAGTATAGAATTCCGGCTCCACTGGTTAGGTTATGGTGTTGACATTGTGTACACTTTTCCCTAACGTTCGAATAACTAGCAGGGTAGAGAGAGAGAGAGAGAGAGAGTAAAGACTTACAGAAGCAGAATCTGCAGATTTTTGGGGCTGAAGGGGAGGCGAGACACTCATAAGCTCACTGCTCCTGGAACAACTCATTGCTCTGTTCCCAACTGAGTAACAAGATACACGAACTCGATAAGATGGGGCGAATAAACGACACAGGGTCATGCGATTCAGAGATAGAATTGCAGAGGCGGAAATACGACACAAGGTCATACGATTCAGAGATAGAATTGCAGAGGAGAAAGAGAGAGAGGAGCCCGGTAAATTCGAACTTTCAAAACTTTTTCAGGAAGGAATCGTTTTCGGACTCCTCGGTTTTCGATACATATACGGTGAAATTTAGAGATAGAGAGGGGCCTTGGGTCAGAAGAGAGAGAGATTTTAAATTTGGGGATGTATACGACGCTCCCGCGAGAGCATAGTGTATGATTACTCTCTTGGGTTGCAGACAAAATTGGGAAGATGTTTTTGATCTGAAATTTTGGAAACCACTTGAAATAGATGCCTATGTTCAAAATAAAAAATTTGAAATTTGAGTTTTTTTTTTTTATCTTGTAGGTCTCACCCTTCAAAAATTAGAAGATTTCTATTGAATTTTGAGATATTGTTTTTTAAAGCACATGGAAAATGCAATTTGGAACTTTAATTGAGTAGAGAGCATAGGTTGAAGAAATTTAGGGTTCTAAAATACTCTTAGATCGCGTTTCTGCCATAGGGAGTAAATGGGCAGTGTGCCAGCTCGGGAGCATGAAATCTTTAGCTCTAAATGTGGAGTAATGTTTAGAAAACTTAGGCGCTTAATTTGTTCAAATTCCGAATGTGACCACCATTATATTTATTTTCAGAATTTGTTCTACTACCAAAACCTCTCATGCTTCATCTCGGATAATTAACATAGATTTTTTAGCACAAAAGAAATCTCCATTAATTATTTGGCACAAAAGTTAATGTGCTTCTCTCTCACGCTTCATCTCGGAAAATTAACATAGACTTTTTAGCACAAAAGAAGTCTCAATTAATTAATTAATTGGCACAAAAGTTGATGTGCTTCTCTCTCATGCTTCATCTCGGATAATTAACATAGATTTTTTAGCACAAAAGAAATCTCCATTAATTAATTAATTGGCACAAAAGTTAATGTGCTTCTCTCTCATGCAGGAACCGCCTCTCTCTAGGAAATCTCAATGAAGGACCATTGCGCTTCCCCAACAATTTTTCATGCACCATACAAACTCCTCTCTCTTCTGTCCTCACAATGACTTTCTCTTAACCGTTCTCGGTTTGTATTTTCATGTACTGGTGGTGTTTAGATGACAATTAATTTTAGGAAAAGATAAGAATAAGTAAATCCTCGTTTCAAAAAGCATTGAAGATTATAGTTATGCCATCTTCAAATCCATCTCGACTTTGACTACTATAGTTGTGAAAAAAAAATTATGATTTTAGGATCTAAACATTGTGTATATTTTTTTAGTGTTCACACATCATCTAGACCATCTAGTTTCAAGTGTTCACAGATCCGTAAGATTTGTACGATTTTTTTAGCTACAAATTTTGTGGTTGACGGTAGAAATATAATTTTAGAGCAACCATAGGGGGTTTCCTCTGCAGGAAGTTTTTTTTGATAAGGTTTCAAGTTGAAGCTTTACTTTTTTTTTTCATAAGACCTCGGCATATAGAAGCAACATCCATAATTTTATATATATTATATTCTTTCATATAAATTTATTATATTTTAAATAAAAAAGCTTTAAATAAGGTCTAGCTATTAAAAAAAAAAGTAAAGCCGCATCTTAAATCTCACTTAAAATTGTAGTTTCAGCATCAATAAACCATCAAATTGATTATCTCGACTGTGTGAAAAAAAAAAAATTTGAGCCCTAAAAATAGCATATGCTGTAACATGGATTTTGGCGGGCAGGCTTTACGTTTTTTTTTTCTTAAGTCAAACTACATCTTTTGAGTAATATTAGTTTGTTAATTAGATTATACAAACCTTGTATTGTGTATAATATTATCTAATTATTAAAATTTTTTGATTGTTTTAGTTGTTTTTAGCTATATTTGGCTAAAATCATGTAAAGTTACTTTGAATAAAGTGAAAATAGTTTTTCAAAATAATACTTATACATAAAACTTCCTATAAGTTTTATCTCATATAGCTATATGAATTTATGATAGATACAATAAAAAAACAAATAATTCACCACTCAAATAAATTTTATTGAAACAGTGAATTACCGGTGATAACTTAATCCCTCTTTCCACATGTATGTGGCATATGATACATTCATCTGACCCTGCACCCATCTATATCTCCCCCTACGTATATATATGGGGTATATTGTTGTATGCCTTGGGGGTACATTCTTATATTTGCATCCCGGAGGCATAAAATATCCATCTTAATCTTAAAGATAGATGCAAATGGGTGGTCAAAGTTAAAAACAATAATCGAAATATTTTATTTATAAAATTATTATTTTCAGTTTTTAAAATTTATTTATATCTGCATAGTCATGATTTCCATGTTAAAAATTATAAATTCCTCAAATATTAAGTATAAATTCCATCTCAAAAATAGATTTAATAGAGGACTCATTTCTACATATGATTCTTAGGACTCATAGAAGCAGTGTCCTATATAATCTTGCGACGATTGTTACTTGTCCGTCAATTGACGCTTTGCATTTATTGTCACTTTCCTTTTGTAAGCGTATAAATTTATTAAAATAAAACGATAAATATGTGGGTAAATTCAGGTAAGGGCCAACCCTGACCCAAACCTGATCCGACTACGTCTAAATTAGACATGGGCTCTATTCTGACTTAGGTCGGTCCAAGCCAATTGAACCTGGACTTGACCCGCCGGGTTGAGTCGCGTCTAGATCAATAAATAAAAAATATAAAAAAAATAATTTATATATTTTATAGTATATTGTTAATATATATATATAGGGTGCAGTTGGCATACGGATGCATTCGCAGGGGTAGAGGTAAGATACACCTTCAAATTTTATAATGGTATATAATTTTGATGTCAAATGTTTTTAGGATTAATTGAAAATCTATTTTTATATCCAATTATAAAATTTTAAATTTCAAAAAATGGTTAAAATCAAGTAGATCTATAAACATATGAAAATCTTGAAAATGAACATTGTAGATAATATGTTGTAAAATGCACTATTTTTAAGACTTAAAATCTTTTTATTTTTAATGGCCATACATCTCGATGTCCATATGATCAATCAAAAGGTTTTTCAACATTAAAACTACTTTTTCCAGATGGATTTTTAGGTGCATCCGTAGTTCTACATTATAAAGTTGCATCCTCGTATAAACTTTTTCCATATATATATATATATTACTATGAGACCATTTATAGAGGTCACTATTGATACAAGCCATTACATGTCAAATTGGCTTTAGGCATACAAAACCTTAATTACAAGATTTTAGGGTGTTAATCTGCATGAGTACTTCTTCACCAAAACCAAAATTTGTTATAACATGACAATCACAATTAGTTGTTGGCATAACCATGGCCAGAAACAGTGGGTTTCAGATAACATAGTCAAGGCAAAAAGATGAGAATTAGGCTCAAATTTCTTCCTGATTTTGCTACAATCTTAGGAATTATTGTATCGCTTGATCTAGCGGGGCATTGAGTAGCTTCCGGTTATTGACTTTTTTTTTAATTGCAGCCGGAAGTCGATTACGAAACACTTGTATAGTCAACTATGAAATTGAAGAAAGCAGAGATTAAGTGAAATTTTACTGTGTTAACTTTCATAATAAAGTCGATAATATGGTAAACAATATAAACTTTGCTTTCACAGTCACCTGATCTGCAACTCAAAACTTTTCTCAACAAAATGAACAACAAACAAAGGGTTTTCGGACTCAAGCCTTTCAAAAACAAATAACTAGATTTCAGTCGGACCTTGAGACATAAGATGCAATTGTTGCCTTCAAAGTATTTATCATTTTCACTATAATAAATTTGAGATACTTCTAAGATACAACTTAGACAAGTGAAATAGTTGTCTGAGTTTTCTAAGAGTTTTGTTATAAAAAACTTTTAAAGAATATCGATGTCAAGCTGATTTCTTTTTGGTTGGACTAGGCTAGGACTCAACTTTTTTTTAAAAAAAGGAAAACAAATTAGATAAGAATAAATTGAGGAAGCAGCGAGAAATTTCATATTTTCAAATAACCAAGGTCAAAAAATGCAAAGATAGAGTTTCAGGTACTCTCTCTCTCATTTTCCAACATCCATACTTATCTTGAGATATTAATAATTATTTTTTCTTGAATTTTTTATCAATCATATATTTTTTTTAAGAAGTTAGGCTCATAGCTTTCCCTTCTCTTTTGATATCATATCTAAAAGGAAGAAAGTGATCGTACTTTACATTTATTCGGGTTTTTATTTTTCAAGTTTTCAATAGGAAAGAGATGGATAGCGAGATTAATGTTAGATATCATTGTGGAGAAAAAGGACAATTAAATGTAGGGGCCTTCTAAATAGGGTGCGGTTTGTATAGAGCCTGAGCTCTAAACAATCAAATTAGAACCTACCTTCAAAAAGCGTCGAGAAATGTGGTTTTCACACCAATACTCTTTGTGATTGCCTTAAAATATATTTTCATCTTTATTTATAAAGTTTAAAGTTTCAAAAATGGTATAGTTCGATAGATCTATAAAAACTTGAAAATCTTGAAAATTGACAGTCAAAAAATGCATTACAAAATACACTATTTCCAAAACTTGAAATCAATTGTTTTCTCATGTCCATACATCTTGATGTCTAGATGATAAATTTGAGGATATTTGAGCATCAAAACAATCTCGTTTAGCGAAAATTTTGAGGTAGGCTCAAATATGATTGTTTAGAGCCTCAGCTCTATATAAACTTTTCCCTTCTAAATTGGTTACTTCCTTAAGGGTACTTTTTGGAATATGGGTGTATACTGTTTTGATACCATCCGGTAGAAACTAGAAAAATGCAAATTCAATATTTGGTTTGCCTGGAATATTTTTTTTTTGGAAAATCTGATTTTTTGATGAATTATTATTATTCTAAAAAACTAACTATTTCCAATGTTGTGAGTATTGAATTCTTTTTTCTAGTATTTATCCAAATGAGGTGACATTTCCAAATTACTGAATTTGCAATGTCATTTTAATGGACCTAAGTGGGCCATACCATAGATAAACATTCACAAATTACATAGCTTATGACAATTTTTCTGAAAGTCCACCGTGCACCTCAATGCATATTGAAAACCCACGTTCTAAGTTATTCTAAAATTACTTCATTACAATAACATAATCATT